CAGAGAAGTGACTGAAAATGCCATCAAGAGAAGATTGTGGAGGAGAAAAACCCTTGCTTGTGGGTCCACAGGTCTGGGAATTTTCTTCCTCGGTACTTCATCCGGAATAATTAATCACAGTAATAGACAGGCAGTTCCTTAATCTTAACTTTCAAACAGGCAACATCTTGCCTTAAGAAGTTTGATCCTGAAAGGAAAGGAAAAACTGATTAGATTTGGACTGAGAAAATAAGAGAATAGTTTGGCTGAAATTCTCCCAACATAATGTTGGAAACGGACCACGAAATGCCATTTGAAAATTGAGCTGCATCTTTCTAAATGTAGACTAGAAGCAACTGTTAGTGCAAACTTTTTAGACAAATCTGAGCTGCAAATGGGGTAGTGAACTTCAGTATTGTGGTGTGGTGTGGTGAGGCCTGTGGTACCTGGGTAATGTGTATTGTCTCGAAGTGGTCTGCAGAGGAGCTGTCGCTCTTCCCTTGTGTACGTGTTTGCTGATTTATAAAAGTCATAGAAAAGCAGAAGATTCCAATAATTAACTTGCTCATATTCACTTGAATCTTTTTCATCCTTCTTGAAAATCTTGTTAGTCTTGAAAGAATGGAGATTTAGATTAGACACTAGGAAGAAATTCTTTGGTGTGAGGGTGGTGAGAGCCTGGCCGAGGTTGCCCAGAGAAGCTGTGGGTGCGCCATCCCTGGAGGGGTTCAAGACCAGGTTGGAGGGGGCTTGGAGCAACCTGGTCTGATTGGAGGTGTACCTGCCCAGGGCAGGGGGTGGCACTGGATTGTCCTTAAGGTCACTTCAAACTCTAACCATTCTATGATTCTATGATTTTGGTATCCCAGACACTGTTAGTAGTGCTCTCACCGGCAAGAGGGTAAGCAAAGTAAGAAGGAATTCCTCGGCACAGAGCTTGAATGCGTTTTCCGTACGGGCGCAAGCTTTGGAGTCTGTTCCTTGAAATAATGAAGCGGTTCATTCTGGGTGGAAGTTGCTGAGAACTCAGTCCCTAAGCATCAAAGAGAGAAACCCAGAAAACAACATTCAGAGAAACCAAAGCCCTGCTGAGAAACTGGTCATCGGTTCTTGGAGCCCTTTCTCCTCTCTGTGGGCCAGGAGCGAGTGCTTCTCCCAGGCAAATGATTTGCTCTCTCAGCACTGTCCTTCACTGTCCTACCTGGTGTCCTTGAGGTGGTGCAGGAAAAGGTTTATCAGGCCAAAACCTCTTGTCCATGTTAGAAATGATGCAGGTGTGTTTTGAAAATACCTTGGTTGCTACGTAGCCCTGTTGAAATAAAAAAAAGCTTTTTGTTGGAAGCAATATGCAGTGGAAGATAAGCAGATTGCCAGAGAGAAGCCCTGGTTAGAAAAAAAGGCTTTCTCCAGTCCAAATAACGATAGGGAAGGAAAATAATGGTTTTTTCAAGTATGTTGTTCAAGTGAACGTGTCATGGAGGCTGACAAGGGACTTTGGGAAAAGGTAAACTGCCTTCTCCAGTAACGCCACGTGTATGATACGCTGTAGTGCTTGGGTCAGGGGAAGGAATCCACTGCCCAGAGCATCAGTGCAGCGGAAACCATACAGTAGTGAAATGGGACCATTCTTCAGCATCTCCTGTAGAATGTTGTTAAATTTCGTTGAAGCTTAGGTGTTTTTCAAAAGGCTTTTGGTCATTTTCCCTTTTTTTTGAGCCTTTGTGGCAGCCACTTAGAGTAGTGACGTCCCAGACAGATTTCCAGTCCTCCAAGCCCTCCTTTGAGTGGGTGCTGACCCCGGTGTCAGTGAGAGAGCGGTGTGAGCGCTCACCATGGTGCCCCTGCAAGTTGTTCTTGCCGTTCTGATTTTTGAGAAAGAGGAAAGGAAATGAGGGTTTGGCTTTGTGGATTTGGCTCAATAA